CCGAACCTTTTTCTTTTATCACAAGCTGGAAAACCATTAATTACATGTAAAAATAATAACAATTACATTCTAAAACTTTTTTTTTTTTTTTTTTTTTTTTCATGACGAACGATTTTTATTTTTTATATGTATTCGTATTTCATGTTTTTTAATTAAAAATATTTGGCGTTTCATTATTTGTCATTTTTTTGATTAATTGACGTTTAAGTTGCCAGGAAAAACGAAAATTTAAATTAAGTTATTTGTAAGATGAAAAAAACGAGAGCGATCCAAAATTGTGTTTTAAATTATTGAAACGTTTATTTCGATTATGTCTTCAATAATATTATACGGCCACATATACCTTAACAAATTTCTTTTTAAAGGGTAGATTTAAAGTGTTTATGAAAAGAGTTGTTAATAATTAAGGGGGGATTATGAAAACATTTAGTATTGGTTGTGATAATGAATGCGTCCTTTGATGTCTTGTGGTAGCCCGACCCATGTCCCATGCACTGCTTTAATCACTGTTTCACTAACACAACATTAAAATTTCAATTATGTGTCCGGGTCGGGTTGCGGTTAGCTTTCGGGTATCTGAAACTAAGATGTTAAAAGATTTTCAAATTAAATAGATTATGAATCTAATCCAGTATAAAGTTCTCGGATCATTCAAATAAAATAAAAAAGTATAATCCTAAAAAATTGTCGAATTTTCATCTCTTTATAGCCTCCCTCTTTAGCCCATTCATTAGTACCATCCTCCATGGAAGATTGAAGATTCTGCAACCTCGCCGGCATGTTATAATGTCCGTCGCCGCCGACATGTTCTGAAGGCCGCCAGCTAAAATGGGTTGCTGCGTTAGTTCGGGGAAATCGTCAAGTTCAGCTCATAAATTCGATGCGGCGGCCGCTGGTAAGATATTTGGGCCGTTAACTGACAACGGAAGCAGAGAGCCGCCGTCTTCCATGGAGGAAGAGACAGTAAAAGAAGTTCTCTCTGAAACGCATGCTCTGAAACCACTGCCAATTTCGTCACCGCTGAAGAATTGCCCACCGGAAGAAGATGAAGCTACAAAACCTGTTGGAGATAAGGCCACCTATGAGATCGAGAAGAAGCTTCCTGAAATTCCCATTAATGGAATTGCACAACAGGCTTCTGAGTTCGATGAAATTTCCAACCCGGACAAGTTTTTCGCCACCGCCAATTTCACCGATATAATGGACGGCGGTGAAGAGGTTCATCAAATGGTCTTGAAAGCACTGCCGACAAATCAATCAATTCCCGGGGACGTTGGGTTGAGAAGAAAATTGTCACCGAACAAGACACTTAACCGGAGATCAGACCAGTCGCCGGTCCGACGAAACAGCTTTGTTGGGTCGGCGAGATTGGTTCAGAAAAGAGACGCAAGTCCAGCAATGACGCATCAAGGATTGAGGACAGAGCCTACTCAGAAAGGCCCAGATGAGAATCTCGGCAGGAGATCCCGGTCACCAGCCACCGCACGTTTCGACAGCGGAGGGTCTAGATCCGCCCTGGGGCGGACCCCATCTGTGAGAAAATCCGGTAAATCATCGCCGCTTCGCACGCCGACAGCAATAACACAAGCACCGGCGACCAGTCGAAAAGTAGTAGAAGAAAACAATATCACTGATGGAAAGTTGATCACTCAGATTGAGTCACTAGAAAACCCACTGGTTTCCTTGGAGTGCTTCATCTTCCTCTAAAAGTGAGACGAAAAAAAAAAAAAAAAAATCCAATTCTCAATTGTTCACCGTTTTTTTTGTGTGTGGGTTTTGTTGTTTCTTGTATGATTTCGTTCATGTTTTACTAATGTAAAGAAACAATCACGGCGGCCGGTCTCCGGAGAATTCATCAAAGCAAGGTGGTGGTGGGGTTGTTGATAATTGAATCATAATTTCAATTCAGAAGTTCAAGAAAGAATGATTAGTTACTGTTCATCACTTGAATTAAGGAGAAAAATAAAGAAGATAACTAGGATTAGACTTTTAAACGTTAATCACATTGACGGATGATAGGTGGCAACAATCCAAAATGTGTAGAATGGGTTTTCCCGAATTAATGGCACAAGTTCTTATCAGTTTTTCTCTACTACACTTATAATTCAACTTTAAAAAATTAAAAATAAAGAATTTAATATCATTTAAAAGAAGTAAATATGCAATAATAGTAAAGTTAAAGCTAGTTTGTGTGTATACTTGGATTCTAGATTCTAGATTCTAGATTTAACTAAGAGCATAGAATATGAAATATGAGTTTCATATAAGAATAGTTTTAAGTTGCACAAAGAAAGCTACAAAAGTACCCTATATGATTGTATCAAACAAAAAATGTGACGGTTGTCTTGTTTGTCTGTTTCTATAAAGTTCTATGATAAAATAAAATAGAATTAAGAGGAAAACGGAGTTGAAATTCAGATATAGTTTGGAGGGAAGGGGGGGAATCAAAACAGGGTTTTTGAGGCCGTTGGAAGGTGGGGGTGGTCCAATGCCCAATGGAACAATTCCAACGGAAAATAAAAACCCAACTTATGGCGGATTTTGGTAACTTGAAATAAATTCAAAAAAAGGCGAAACCCCCACTTTCTGTTTCTATCCGAATCCTATGGCATTTGAGAGACTCAAAAACGACGTTGAGTTTGATCATGATTGCTTAGTTTTCAAAAGCTTTTTGGGTCATTTTCAGTGCATTTTTAACGTCTCTCTCCCTCTTGAAATAACTGAGAGTGGGCTAAGAAAACGAATGAGTTAAAGAGTTGTGAGCGTACCAGGCCTATCTTACTACTTCCACTGGGCTAGCTTGCAAATGAAGCCCACACCGAATGGATGTTGTGTTGCTTCCTTCTTCGACCTGCAAAAAGCACAAACCGGATTAGTGTCCACACCATCAATAATCCAAGTGATTTCAAATTCAATTAATAAAATAACAACTTAAATGGCGTGTGATAAAATATTAGTGGAAATCGTGACGTTCCAAAAGTTTTCAATTGATGGAACTTCTCTGATTGTCACGTGTGCCATGAATAGACATTTGCACACATCGCCTATATTTAGAATAATATGAATTACCTTTCCTATATCAATTTACCAAATACAGTAACAACATAGAAATTAGTATTATCCTTTTAACACAAATTTGGTCCTATAATTTATAGAAACATAAGAATTTAGTCCTAGAATAAATTTCTATGATACACTCATAAATACTATTTATCAGGGTTTTATCAAATCATACAAACAAGAAAAATAAATTATAACTTCTAAACTATGAAATAAATTTTTGCCAAAAAAAAAAAAAAAAAGGAAATACCAAAAAGCAAACAGAAAAAGAGGATAGGTGGTCTGAAAAGTCTAAAAAATAGAGGTTGATACTGATATAAAGACAATGCCATACCTAAACAAGTTTTTTTCAAAAGAAAAAAACTCATGGAATATTACCACTATTATCATTGAGCTTTTATTTCCATTTTGATATCTACGGTGAAGAAAATCACATGCTTTAAAAAAAATAATGTTATTGCGAAGCTCAAAAAAGGACATTGAAGCAAATCCAGCAGAGATACTATTGCCGTTTGTGACATTGGAAATCTAAATCGTGTAACTTTTTTATTTCTTTTAGCCAACACACTTTCGGCTTCGAACAGTAAAGGTTTGTTTACCCAACAACATAAAAAGGCATTTTCCTACGAGCTAGGCTTAAAAAGCAATACTCTATTTGGCATGCTTGAATTCGAAGGCCAATGCATTCCCCCNCCTACTTTGACAACTCTTTTGCTTCATAATATGAGGTAGAGGCCAGAGGGCAAAATCAAAGTCCAAGCTTAATTTGAAAATTTCTAGAAAACCTTAGGCGAGAGAGGAATAGCATCCAAATCCAAATTAAGTTGTCTAAACATGAGTGCATAGTCCAATGGTTAAAGCATCCTTTAAGTCAGAGCTCTCAATCCCCACTCCTTACATCTATTGAAAACCCAAGAAGGCTTCAGCTTGGGTAATATCTTTTAGTATCGAGAAAGTGAAATGGACAAAAGATGGGAAAACAGCAGAAATATTCGATGACCAAGAGAAAGTTATAAAATGACAGAAAATTCTGATAAGGCACCGGTTGCAGAGAGAATCTGCAGAAAAAGGTAGAGGCAGACCAAATGGCCTTTGTACGAATGGGAAAACGATCTTGCGAGAGAATGGCAATGGACATTAATGCTAGCATTTGAAAAAGGTGAATTTGGAATATGGACTTTTTCCATACCTCCTCCAATCTGAACATCATCAACAAGCCTTTATTGGGAGGATCAGTCCTCTGTATCACCACCTCCTATGATCTTGACACGTGGCACTGAAGGTCCACCAAACAATCCTATCCCCAGCTTGTGGTTAACCATTAAAAAAACTTAAGAGGGACCCCACCATGAGAAAGTGTCATATGGGAAGACTTTAGCCGATGGAAAACTAGACCATTATCCCCACTTTGTGTAGGATAATGACCCTACATAAGTAATTGAAAGAGAAGACAAGGGTGGCGTAGTTGGCTAGAGTGACAAGTCATTAGCCAAGGATGATCCCCATCTCCCTTTGTATGTAGTTCTGCACAGTGGGAGGGAGATGGCAAGAAGCCCGAAGATTCTACGTACAGATGAGGAGGTGGAGTGAGACAAAAATGAGATTATTGGTTAAATAGAAAAAGTAAAAGAAAGTGTGAGAGCTATAAGGCCTAAAAATCCTATAAAGTTATCAAGAATCAAGTTCCTCCACTTTGCCTGATGAAGAAGACAAATCAATGGATAAGATGGCGAAACTCTGATTTGATTGATCAGAACCAGAGTTTCTGGTTTACTGCGCTGTATCCATAGACAACATCCTTTACTAATTTGATTAAAAGTTCAAGCTTAGAAGGAAACAAATCTCTACTTCCTCAACTTTTAATTATACTAACAATTTGACTAAAACACAGACAGGATTTCCTGCAACAGCATCTTTCTGCTAAATTCATAACGGAGAAAAGGTTTGAATCGTTATAATCCTTTCCAGCAAGAATGCTCAGAAGGAAGTTTATTCCTTGCTTTTCAAAAGTATGAATCTTTAGGAACCGAAAAGAACTATTAAAACGCTTAGTGGAACATTAAATATGTTTATGCCCGTGAAAGAGGTAAAGACCGAGGACATACCGTTGAACATAGTCAGCTTCCTTCGTTACTTTTGCCGCAACAATATTCGATACTGATATGTCTTTGTAGGCTCTCTGCCCACTGCAACAGCTATTAGTTCTCCCTCCCTTCTTCTCTCCCCTTCTCCTTCTCTGTCTTTATCGCTGTAGTTGATGGAATTTGAGCATTCCAACATGACTCCAAGGAGAAAAGGCCGATCATCGTAGGGGGTCAGCAGAAACTGCGAAGCTTCATTGGAAGTCCAAAAGATTACACTTTGCCCTTTCTCTTATTACTCGTTACTCCTGTATACAAAAAGGTGAATCTTCTTTTGTTGTTTTAGTTCTGACACTTCTGCATAAACCTCATTGCAACTCTTGATGTTTGTCTCTGTGTCTGTGAATCCTTTATAATCTTCCTCAAATACCCAGAAAATATCGCAACCTGCTCTTCATTTCAAGACATTTTTGGGATTAGCAGCAGCAATTTTAGAGTATAGAAATTGACGCTGTATAAATGGGATTGGTGCGAGGCATAGAATGGATGAATGCTTACAGTAGGAAGCAATTCAGGAAACTGTTCTGGAGGATGAGAGCAGCGATGAAGAAAGCCATCAAGAACGGAGGAAAAAGAAGGTTCAATTTTCAATATGATCCTTGCAGCTATGCTCTAAATTTTGATGATGGGTTTTGCAAATTTGAAGCTGTTGCTCCTGAAGAACCTGCAAAGATTCAGATTAGCTCAAATTTGAATCACTCTCCCATGTGGGTTTTTGTACTTCTGGTGAAATCTGAGTGAATTTTCTTGATTGGCAGATTGACTCTTTGCCTGCTCATTTTCTAATGCATCCTTGATTAGAAGCCATCTACTTGCATTTTTTGTACATCTATGCTTGTCTATGATCTTCAATATTATTAATTGGTTTTGTTTCGAGAGAAAAACTGATCCTAGAGTTTTGACTGTCATCCTTAACATATTCACTCCTCCCTTTCTTATTCTTCCATCTTCTCACACGGCAATCTCAGTGTCTAGTATTTACCAATTTACTTTTGCAGACAATCCCAGCTCTCGGGTAAGCTGAAGCTATTTTCTAACAGATGAATTTGAAGAAACTCTGTGACATTCGTCTGCAAAAGGTTGTTAAGCGCAATAACAGGTTAGAAAGGAGAGGAAAACATGCTATTTGCCAATGAAGCTGACGAAACACAATATTGAAAGAAAAAGAATGTATAAATACAATTATTTTGAGTTTATAATCTGTTCATTTCTTAAAAATCCATCTCTGGTCACAATTTTGGGCGGCGCAGCGCTCAAATAAGGGCCTTCTAGCATAGCAATGAAAAGCTTTGCAGTTTTGATTATGAAATTCAATCAAATCATTTAAGCCATAATAGTGACAAGTCACTAACAAACTTTCCTGTGGGGCAATAATTATCCATATGCAACTTAGTACACTAAATGGTCGATAAAATCTGAATGTTCAGAAAAGCACATTTCGGAAGATATTTGTAAAATATTATCTTGAAACTAAAGTTCATTAACGTTCCCTCGAGTCTATGAATTCCATCTTCCAAGTTCCTGGAAGGTCCTCATCTGAATGGCAGCTTAAATCAAAATGTTGAATTTAAGATCTAAAAAGTTGACGATAGTGATGGTTGTATTTTCCAGGTTAAACATACCAGGAGAAAAACTTACAGCCCCAGTTTTCATCACAAGGAAATGAAACTAGATCCATGTAATATGGCCCATATTCAGCCATCGATTGCACCCTTTTCCTTTCGGGGTGTGTAGGGGCAGATTATATTGATAAACAAAAAAGTGGAACACCGGAGTGAAAGGAAATCTCTTTAAAGGAATGTGAATGAGAAGGAATCAGAATAAGGAATTGAAACAAAATTTCAAATATTGCATTGAAGCGAGAAGATCATAATTGATACAATTTACCATATCTGTAAAGACAATCAAACTCAAATGTGCATGGGACCGACATAGAAATTAGAGAGACGAAAAGATCAAAAAAGAGTAAGGCAAGAGCATGGTAAAATTAAGGGATGAGAATAACATTATTTAACCTTCCCAAAATCGAACAGGGCATAGCTTTAGAATTGAGCTCTCAAATAGGGAATCTGATATGAACCAAGAGACATCAATCATACAATATACGTCAATGAAGATGAATCACTACAAGGAGAATAAGATTCGGATTATCTTGTTAATCGAATATCTCAAGGCAAGAACATTGTTTGAGATTCGAATCACTCCACAAGCAAAATCGATTATGTCTAGCTTGAATGATTCTTGTTGATCAAATATCTCAAGCAAAGAACACTTGATTGAGATTCGAATCACTACACAAGTAAGATTGATCATGTCGAGCTTGAATGATTCTACATGCAACCTAAACTACATAGAATCGCAAAGAAACTTAGTCATTGGCTAAAGAAGAGCACAAATACTTCTTTTACTATATTTTCCAAGTCTACTTACAAGTACAACATACATGGCTTTATATAGCCTCAAAATGAAACTGTTAAAGGCATTCTAAGAGTTGTAACATTCATACTTAATGACCATAATTATCCATTATGTAATTGTAACCTAATGTAAATAAAAGGTCCTAAAATACATTAATGAAATACAATAACTCTAAATTAGTCTAAATTGTAATCCACCCAAAATTTATAACATGAAACTTCATTTTTCATCAATGTAACATGAATTGAAATATCTTTTGATAATTTCAACAATATTTTCTTCACATATTCATTGAAGTACATTGTATGATTGATGTCTCTTAGTTCATATCTGAAACATTCATCGTTTCTTAATTAATTTATTGAACATTGGAATTAAGAGAATGGTTTTCTATACTATGGTTACCATCTCCTGCACCTAAGATGCTAAAATCACCGCCATGCAAAACCAACAAATAAATTATATCGGCCAAGGACTAAAGCATTGACACAGCAATGCATCTCGCACCATGATGTGAAGAGAATCCAGTCAAATTAAATAAAGTCTTTTTGCTTTGCTCTTTTCCCTTGAATCTCCACTTAAGGTTTTTTCAGTCACCAAAAGTTGTTGTGGCTCAGACTGACCATTGCCCTTCTATGCTCGAAAAGAGGTATTGTCACATCCTTCCTTTCAGGAGAGAAGTAGAGGAGGCTGTGGCAGAGTGGTTTCTTCACTGTGTTATGGAATATTTGGTGGGAGAAGGGCAGAAGAGATTTTCATGGAAAGAGTAGTTCTTGGGGAAGGTGTGCTGGAGGCTCACTTCATTACCTCTATTTGGGCTTCTTCTAACAATTTATTTAGCGATTTATATCTTTTTAGGGATTAGCAACAGTTGGAGCACTGTCTGTGTTTGTTGTTCTAGTAGCCACTTTTTGGCTCATGTATTTTTTTTTTCTTGTTCTTTTATTCCACTAAAGAATAACATAAATACTCATGGACGATAGTAGTTTCTTCTTGTAAGTTGACAGTAGTAAAAGTTGGAGCCTAGCAACGTAATCCACAGATAATAATAAAAAATAAAAAAAAGCTCGTAGATAAAGTATACTAAACCTTTTACGTGTTTCTGGCTCAGAAGGATAGCAGCATTCACTTTGCAATCCTTAAGCGCCATAACTTGTGTCAAAGGACGTCTGAGTAGTTAGAAACATCTATAAAAGCAAGCAGTGCATTATTTCTTCTACTCTTCCATTAAACGTTTCTGTAATAAGGAAGAGCAGAGTCCTTTATATATGTGTACATAAATATAATTAGTTTATATATTCCACAAATAAGCAAATGTAAACTGAGAGAATGAGTAACGCAAGGAGTTCAGGAGAAGGTTTAGGACATTGTCCGTACAGACGATTAACAAAGTATGTCACTGTCAATTGGATCAAGTCACACCAAATAGAAACTTCAATTTTTCTTCTCCCGTAGGTGGAAGAACAGAATTGGACTTGTGTCCAATATCTTCATATAGAATTTGGCTTACATTAGTACGCGAAGAGAGAACAGATATTTCAGTATTCTTCATTCTCAGGAAGAAAAAAAAAAAGGAAAAAGGCGATATACTATTTGCTGACTGTCGTGACACCACAAACAGCCCATGACTGTAGCATTAGAAGCATGCACAAAACAGATGCTATTATGAAAAAGCTAATCGATGAACCAAATAACATCGTAGTATCATAAGTCAGTAGTCAAAACATATTCATTTTCAAAAAGTAAAATTGTGAGGCGTGAATAAAACTTGAAAGTAGAACAAGAAATGGACGTTATGGTCTCTTTCTATCCAAACGGGTCCTAACAATGAGCTTCTCTCACCTTAACTCGTAAGAATCCTTTGAGCTTATTAGAAAGTGACAAAATCGAAAGTATAGAACAAATTTGTTTCTGGAAGTGCTTTCAAGGAGCCTCTGTGGTTCACACTCGACACAAAAAATTAAATATCTATATCATACACAAGGATAATAAAATCAAACCCAGTACACAAAGAGAGCAATGATACTAACAATGATAGGTTAACAAAGTATCAATACTTCTCGTTATCTAAGTAATCTCACAAAGTTTAAGAACGCAGCATACCCCTGAATTCAACTCTTCAACTTTCATGTATAAGGAGATACCTGTTTAGCAAATGGTAAGGTGGAGGTGGTACCAGAGAATAAAAGACAGAAATTCCCTATAAAATAGAAACAACATAGAATGAATTAATTGATCACCAAATGCAATGGAAGGACACATTTTTATCTCAAATTCCATCCAGAATTTCCGAGCTGCATCAGCATGCCCCACCATAGCATAACATGTTACTCACCAGCTTTTTCATGTCCTGATCCCTAGCCTTTACGTCGTTAAGCTTCTTTTCATCATCTTATTCACATAGCCTGCAAGCTAAATTGAGACAAAATATACTAAATTGTTTATAAATAATATTTGAATCGTGTACAAAATGGCTAGCCTTCCACCTCAGTCTTAGCATGTTATATTTTATGAATGGTGACATATGGAAGGGGAGGGTCAATTCCATTGACGAGAAGAAAATGAATAAACAACTTCCCTACTTCCTAGTTGAAACCTTCTGCCCGAAGCTCAACCAAATTAAATTCGTTGACCTAAATGCTAATTTTTAAAATCCCATTAGCTATCTTGAACATTCACTGTGTAGGGCAGGAAAAGTAAACAATGTAGTGAAGAATTTGCAAGATCAGTTCTCCTTACCCGAGCAAGAGTCTCCTATCATTTTTTTTTTTTATAACTAAAACTGATAGGTACTGTGATCGATCATTTAAGCTCCGCAATGGAATATCAATTGAAGAATTACCATTGCACCAATCTTTTGCAGATGATCATCGTAATCGGGAACTGTGACACGACCGCACACATCAACGCCATCGAAATCTCGCAATAACTACTTCCAAGCCTCCGCCCCCCAAATCCATTTCACAATCTCATCAAACACCCCCCTCGAGCCATAGCTTCGAACTTAAATAAACAGAGCGCAGTGACGATCTGTTCTTCTTTTTTCACAGACGATTCGAGACTTTGGGATTGGAAGAGTGGAGAAACATTGTGTGAAAATGATTCAAGAAGTTTTCGCGGGAAGAAACTACCGCGATCACAGAAGTTCGTGACAAATAAGAACACTCTTAAAACGGAGTTTTGAGTGTGACGGTCGCTTTATTAACGCGAATGTTACCCTTGTCTTCTGGCCCACTTTCTAGTTTGACTGGTCAACGATATCGGCTCACTGAGGGATGTTGTTTCTTCGGGCCTTGGCCGATTCATATTTGGGCCTCTCCATTTTCTTGATCAAATTATAAATTAAAAATAAATAAAGTCACCATGTTTTTTTAAGTATTTTATTTTAGGTTTAAGTTAAAATTTTAATTTATGATTTTTTACGTTTAGATCTATCTAATTTTTTTAATTTAAAAATTACCTATGAATTTTATAATATGTCATTTAATTTTTAATTTTTGTCTCTAATAACTCTATAATATATTTAAACATTCCCAAAATTAATTTGGATAATAAGTGAAATTATAAAATAAAAACAAAAAATTATGTGAAGCCAATTAAGAACATTTTAATCACATGGTCAATATTAATTCGACAACATAAAAATATAACATATTGAATATAAAAAAAATCGATAATAAAACATTGTTTGATTAGACCTTACGAGACTCAAAATTCTCTTTTATTGTATGACTATTGTTTGTATTAATTGAAAAATAATAATAATAAAGTAAAAGTTTATTTCATAATTGTTTATTATTAATTAAATGCCATATCACATTAAAAATAATATTAATTGTCACTATACTATGTAATTGATGGTGTGTTCAAGGTAAGTAGGTATTCATAAGTACGTATAATTAATTAATTCCATGCATTTATATAATTAACTCTTCACCTGTCTACCCAATAAATTTATAACATTAAATTCATTAATAAAATATATTTTAAATATATACATTTAAAAATGAAAGTGTTTAAAAATTTTAAATATATTTTATTACTAAATTAAAATTTGTTGACAAGTTTACAAAATATATATTAAATAGAAAACTGATTAGACACCAAATTAAAAATAAAATATTAAAAAGTTTATAAAATTCAAAACAACAACCCGGATACCTTCGTAGAGTAAATTAGTAGTAAATTAATGATATGTTTGTCGCCGAGGGAAGACGCCAACGCCGACCAGCAGCGCACGGTGCATCACGTGTCGCAGCGGGGTTGAAAAGTCAAACACGGCCTACTTTATTTTCCTTTTTCTAATTGCGTGGCTCTTGGTAAAGAAAACGCGGAGTGTCGACATAAATAATTTCCCACTCCAGCCATTGCCATTTGCCAAGAGCCAATTGGTCTGTCACTCTGCTTACTTCACCACGCATTACCGGTTGGGCTCCGTTTTTTTATAAACTTTTTAAAACTCCATTATTATTTTAATATTCACTTTATCTCTAAGAATTTGCCAGCTCTAATTTTATTTTTTTTCTTTTTTTTTTTAAAGCGCATTGTGAATTTCCACGTGATGATTAATTTAATTTCAAAATTTTCCTCGCCAAATCTAGTATTCGTTCGGTATGAATTGGAACTTTGTCGTTTTAATGCTCCAGCTTTAATTCATTCTTCCCTTCCCAGTTCCTGATCCACTTACATTTAGAATACTAATAAACTAAATAAATAAAAAATGGTTATGCTAACCGTTCAACTTCGTTACTAATAAATATCATACTATTTGTACTTTTTATTTAATATTTTATTATGTAGTTTCCACCATAAATGTTTCACTTCTTCTTTAATCTATGTGAAATTTCACAATTCACTTACCTTGAGTCCATCGTCCTTATTGGCACGTTGATATGAACCAAAAGACATCAATCATACAATATACTTCAATGAAGATGTGAAGAAAAGGTTGTCAAAATTATCAAAAAATGTTTCAATTCATGCCACATTGAAGAAGAATGAAGTTTGATTGTTATAAATTTTGGGTGGGTTACAATTTAGAGTTATTGTATTTCATTTATGTATTTTAAGACTTTATTTACTATAGGTTACAATTACATAATGGTTAATTATGGCCATTAGGTATGAATGTTACAACTCTTGGAATGACTTTAGTAGTTTCATTTTGAGGCTATATAAAGGTATGTACGTTGTATGTGTAAGGAACTTGAAAAATATAGTAAAAAGAAGCATTTGTGCTCTTCTTTAGCCAATGGCTAAGTTTCTTTGCAATTCTATGTAGTTTAGGTTGCATGTAGAATCATTCAAGCTCGACATGATCAATCTTGCTTGTGAAGTGGTTCGAATCTCATGGAAGTGTTCTTGCCTTGAGATATTTGATCAACAAAAATCATTCAAGCTAGACATGATCGATCTTGCTTGTGGAGTGATTCGAATCTCAAACAATGTTCTTGCCTTGAGATATTCGATCAACAAGGTAATCCGAATCTTACTCCCCTTGTAGTGGTTCCATATCATATCACACGTCGTCCTATATCTGTCTCTTATACTATTTATAACAGCTCAAACCACTACTAGCAGATATTATCCTCCTTTAGCTTTTTGTTCACATGTAATAGTTTCAAGCCCACCGACAGTAAATATTGTCACATTTGAGTTTACCCTTTCAGATTATTCCTCAATATTTTAAAAACGCAACTGATGTCACATTGAGGATTTCCCCTCAAAGTCTACTAAGAATAAATTTTTACACGCTTATAATTAATGTTTTATTTCTCTCTTTAACACATGGATTTCACGATTGGTTCATATGATCTCTTGCATATTAAATAAAACTGATTTAGACGTCTTCCCTTAATTATAATATTCATTATATCCTTATTTTATTTATTATTATTTTACAATGATAGAGCAAGCTGAGTATGAAATCAAATGGATAATAGCTTAAATTATTTAGATTTTTTAAAAAAAATAATTGACTTCCCAATTCAAATAATTGCCATTATATTGGATGCATATTTAAGACTATGAATAATATATGTATTTCTAATAATTGACTTTCCCAACTATAAGTTTACAATTATTATTTCACATGGATTAATTTATAGTTTTTATCAATATTAAATATTCTAAAAAGATTACATGTGTTATTTTAATTAGACATACTTGGCAAATAATATAAATATTAATAAAACTTGTTGCATGTCCTTTATTAATCAGATTATGAAAATTATATTTATAAACACTATGTCAAATTTTCGTTCCTTTAAAAGCAAATACAATATCCTCTTTTTATTTCGGTTCAACAATCAAATAAAATTTATTAAAGAGTTCCATGTGCACGTTGAAAAAATAACGTACGAACTCGAGTCGAGTAATAGACGAGTGCTTAATCATAATAGGCTTAGGGCTTTTCGAACTTTGACACTCTTTGTATTATTAATATACAATAAATGAACGTTAACAAATGATCGATTTATTTGGACACCTAAACTTGTGGACATTTTTTTAGTTGGACAATTTTATATATAAATGTACAATAATCAATATTATATAATAGATATTAAATAAAAAAGAAAAAGAAAAAAAAGAAAGTAGCGTGCGGCATGCATGAATGAGGCATAAATCCAAAGGAAAGAACCCCCACCCACTTTTGGTAGGAATATTTGTTACCGTTATCTTCGCCGTTTATGGATGGGAAGGCGCGAGGGCTAATTTAAAAAAAAAAAAATAATAATAATAATAAAAAAAGAAAAAGAAAAAGGAAAAGGAAAAGAATCTGGAGTGCGGTGTTTTATTTAGTTCGCACACGGCTTTTCAAAGTTTCAGACTCCGCCTTGAAAAAAAAAAAAAGAAAAAAGGAAGAAGAAAATTATTAATGTCAGCTTGAAAATCCGGGAAATAGTCCTCAAATTTCGCACTATTTCACAAAGGCTATTTAAAATTACGAAATCCGTGGTCTTTACGATTCGATCCGCGACTTTGTCTTCTCTTCCTTCTCCTCTTGTTCTCTCTTTATACTCCATTCCAAACTGTGGAGGAAAAGTCTCACCGGAAGTTTCTCTGAATCTTACTTCCTTGTAGTAAATGAATCCATCTCCTTCTGTAGTTCCTGGTGATTTCGGGTGACTGGATGAAGCGGCCCTCGCCCACGAGGTTTTAGGATTATAAAGGGTCGTCGTCTGTTTTGCTTTGGATTCGGTGGCTGGATATTAAAGCTTGGTCGGCTGTGGTTGTTGGTTTTTATGATCATGTTGATGGCGGATGAGGGTTCTAATTTTCCCCTACAGTATGGTGCTGATGATTTCGGTGGGGACACGTCTATTGACTATGAAGCGTTGTTTCATATGCTGAACGAGGATCTGGATCCTTCGCAGGTAGGTTTGTTGCTGGTGGTTGTAGGAAAATAAGGGTTTTCCTTTTCTGAATTGAGATTAGAGGTCTTGGATTTTAGGGAAACTGTAGTAACAGTTGCAATTCCCCCTCTTGGTTGGAATCCCTTAGAATTAGTTGGTGCTTTAAGCCTATGATCAGTGCTAACTGCTGATTCACCCAAAAATTCAGAGAAAACGTGTTAAGTTCATATTACAGAGCAACGTTTATATTTACATGTGGTGGAATAAAGGAGAAAGCACTAGTTAAACCTTTATCTTTCTCACTCGTTTGGATTACTATACTGTGGGCAGAGCGACGCCGCTTAGGTAATGTTTTTAAGTTAAGCAACCTCGAATTTTCCGAAGTCAGTTGGGTGCAATCATGTCAATTCAGCTATTCTTGGAATGCTAAGAGTCACTCTGTCCGCCGGGTCACTTGACATCTCGCATCAAATGAATGAAATAAAATCGAGATATGGTGTTGTAAAACTGTCGTCTTTGTTTCGTTTATTTCATTGGAATTTGTTAAAAGAGCGAAGAACTTAGTCTCTTTATGGACCGTTCTTTAATTAATTTTTAAACTCGACATAGATGAAAGTAGAATTGAAATACGGGGACAATAAAGGGTATGGTATATTGGTAGATATTTTAAACTTCCATGTTCTATATTCTCACAGATTACCTGCATAATCCATACATTATTTCTCACGAGAAACTTTCTCTTGGTTACTTGTTTATGATTATCCCAGAATCCGCCAGAGGACTTGTCGCCAAATA